AAGTTGGTAGAATTCTTCTATTTCATCCTCACTGGCTTTAGTGGTTACTGCATATATTTGAATAATAGTGGTATTAACTGGTTTTCCCTGTAGGCACATGGATATTATCCTATCACAGACAGTGTTGTACCTTATGACGGATCTGGATATATTTTTTTTAATGTTTTATTGTGAATATGTTACAGTTTACATGGGAGAACATTAGTTTTACATTCATCCTATTGTATTTCGTTTCATTGCCATGATTACAATCCCCTCCATGCATTACCACCCATCAAAGGGTATATCCTACAAGCCTGCCCCCTGGTCATCAGCACACAGCCCCTCTCCCTCTCTGGGTCTAAAGCCCACAGCTGCTCCAGCTCTCCATGTCATTGTCTTTGCCTCCATCTCTAGCATCATTGCTTCTCTGGGTACATTCTCACACTCTGCTCTTCTCCCTTGATGGTCCCAGGGACCTCTGCTCGCTCCTAGACCGAAAAGTTAATCACTCCTCTCCTTGCTACAAAATGTCTACCTTTACATTTCCAACTCTCACAATCAGTCCTGATAACAATTATTCACCATTGTATCCAAGAGACTTACCTGCATGTCCTTTCATTAGCCCCGCCCAGACAGATTGGATACTACTCAGTGGAGATTCTACCTTCCTCCACATCCTCTGGATCTAGGTTCTGTCTTGAAAGCTTGTAAGCCAGTCACTTCTTGCCTTTGGAGCCCCCCCTCATTTTGGGTATCCAATGTGCAAGTTGCCCATTGCTGTCTACTCTGTATGGAAGGGGTGGGAATGATCCTGGATATGTTCTTTTTGACAATGAATGCAACACCATTCCTCTTCAATGTGTTATTCCCAGTATAGTAAACCATGTGGTTGTCAAATTCAGTATGGTCAATACCAGTCCATTTCAGCTAACTAATGCCTAAGATATCAATTTATGCATTCCATTTCATTTTTGACGATTTGTAATTTTCCTAGATTCATATATTCCATGTTGTATTATTAATGGATGTTTACAGCTGTTTCTCTTCATTTTGAGTTGTTCCCCATCAGCAGATGAAGGTCCCGCAGGCTTTACTCCATTCACGTCATCATGGTCAACTCTATTCTGAGGAGGCAGCTCTTCCCCAGTTGCATTTTGAGTGCCTTCCAAGCCGAGGGGCTCATTTTCCGGCACTGTATCTGACAGTGTTTCTCTGCTATTTATAAGTTTTTCAGTGACTAAATATTCAGAAGTAGTTCATCACTCTTGTATTCATCTGAATGGTTAGATACTGAAAATTTTCTGAATGGGAGCAGAACACAGTCTGATGTTTTTGTTATTGTTAAGTGCTACTGAATAGGTTCTAACTCATAGTGACCCTGTATAGGGATTCCAAGGAAAGGCTGGTTAGTTTGAACTGCCGACCTTGTGATTCAAATGACTTTATGGCCCAGTGATTTATCTTATAGCACCACACTAGGACTCCTACAGTGCATTCTCCTACAGTCTGATACAGTACTGGAAGATGAGTCCCTCATGCTCAGAGGCACTCAAAATTCCAACGGCAAAGAGTTGCCA